ACTGAAACTAATTCTGGGGATTTTTTCCTGCAACAAATGCATGCATAGGACCCATTTTTATACATATTTATGTATATAGATATAGGTGTGTATGCAGTAGCCAGAAGATTTGTATGTGGTAGCCAGGAGGCCATCCTTCCAAAAGGGTCAGGTGAAGACAACCCTCTCAATCTTGAATTAATGACCACTTAATAAAATTAATTCTGTGTAAAATAAGGCATTAGAATTGTACATTATATGGTCCCCCAGATCGATTCCCTGATACACAGACTACATGCACAATTACTTGGGACTGAAGGAATCTGGGCTCAGGTAGCATAACCCTGTGCATGCTGACTTTGTTGTCATTTCCAGTGAGTCCAATGACTCTTCCTTGCAGGCCAGTGTGCATTGGCTGTTTCTGTGCTGGGGATGGATCTCTTTCTTCCAGGTTACTCCATGTAAGCTGCAGCAGAAACTGGAAAGGAGCTCCTTGGGCTGTTGAGCTCAATCCCCTTTCTGTTTGCAATATAAACATGTGCCATAGACACTTTTGTGTGGTGGGCTACAAAGCCACAGAAAGCTATGCAAGCTTACTTTCCCCTAAGTCCCATTGAGTTCAGTGGCTCTTCCAGTTCTGTCTACTCAGTATGCTGATCACGTTCTCCTCTCATGCCCCACCAAGTGTAGTGGATGAAGGTTTGTAATGGAGACCTGCCATCCATCGAGATTCTCCAGTCAGGGATCCTGATTTTCCAGACTCTACAGTAGAGGAGTTTCTCCATTGTGGCTATTCCATGTCATACATAGAGTGTGGCAAGAGGAGACCAACGGTAATGTCCCTCTTGAAGAAAGAGTAACAGCTCCACCTCCTTTCTGGGCTCCATTTCAGCCACTTTCAAAAGCATTTTGCTCTGTTAGCTTTTGCTCTATTGTTTCCTATAGTGTAGTACTCTCAGCAAATATAAGATGGCAGGTTTCTTTGGCGGTGGTGGGGGGAGCCTTTAGCTTGCTTCCTCGTAAATGACTTTTTTCTTTTCTGTGTCAGAACCAATATGTCTATTAAATATATGGATGTCGGATTGCTCTTAAAGGCATAGGAAGGAGATCCCATAAAAGAAAGGGGGCAAAGGAGTACCTTTAGCAGACTGCTCTGGCCTTTCCCTTCTCCAAAGGAGCGAAGCTGGGGAAAGGAAGCGATCCACGTATTGTGGTCTCTAATAAGAGACAAATGGAAACCTGTAATCCTGCTTAGAGAGACTGATTCTGCTTGAAACCCTGGACCAGGCTCCCCAGTTTACACATCTTCTGACTACAGAATGAGAAAAGGTGGGGTAATATTAGGTCCCTTCTGGTGATTTGATCATGCCTGTAATTTTCACTAGGCTCAACCTTGCAGAAGTCTAGCAACTACTTGACTCCTGCAGTGGCAATGGGACTCCTTCAAGAAACTGCACAGAAGGATGTGAACCTTGTGAATGGGCTGCTTCTGGCTCAAGAGGCTGGGCTGAAGGTACATAACCCCCTCCATCCCCAGATCCAAGGGCCAGTTCATTGGAGGCCTTTGAGACAGCTGCAGGATCACCTAAGGAAATGTTTTGTAATGTTATTTCTCTTAAGAAAGGCTGGTTTTTTTTTCCTGTAGACTTGCCCAGTTATAAAACAGGTTGAAATTCAAGGTATGCATCTCCCCCAGCATGGTTATGCTGCACATATTGACTGCCTACCTGTCTGCCATTATAAGTTTTCCTCTTTCAGAGATGTATAATAACCCTATTGTCCTATTTTCATGGTAGACAAGAACATAGCTTTCTGCAGACTATTGGTATGCCGCGCCTGGAAGAAGAAAATTGGAGGCAAAATTCTTTCGGAGAAAGCAATGCACTAATTTCCCTCTTTCTGATTCCCAGATCACTGCCACTCACACTGACAAAGCATTGGGCAATGATGGACAGCTGCAACTAACTGCAAGCAATACCCCTCACCTGCTAGTTGGCTCTGTGCAAGGCACCGTTCCATGCCTGCTAGAACTCAGCGGGGCAGCCTTCAAGCAGCTGGTTCCCCTCAGTGGCCCTCTGCTGTTCTACAAATCCAAGACCTCCAGTGCCAGTCTGCTACCAACAATTACTGGTAAGGAGAGGTATTTCGCATCCCTTGCTTCACCAGCTGACTTTTTAGTACTAGCATCAGCCTAGTCTTTTCCAAACTGGTGCATTGTGAATATGTTGGGATTACAAGTCCCACCAACCTACTGGCACAGTTGTGAGCCAGAAATGGCGGGAGTTTCAGTTCATCACATCTGGACGTCACCAAAGTGGGGAAGTGTAGCAAGGTGGTTAATACTAGAAAAAAATATTTGCTGTGAACCAAAGCTAGAGAAGTTAGCGCTCTCCTGCCTGCAATGCTTCTTTTTGCTAGAAGTGAATTTTCTGAGGCGACTGAGCTTGAAAGACTAAGTTCTTGCAGCTCTGCTGCTGTTGTTCCTGGCACTGAAATTTCCAGCCCATTTGATGCTTTTGCCTAGAATCAAGTTCCCTCCAGTCTGTGTCCCAAAGACTAAAACCAGGCCAGGATGAATCATGAACATAACCTCCTTTGGTGTATCTACCCTTTTGCCCACCTGCACTCTGCTGCCACCACCTACCTTTGCTGCCCCCCACTGCCTCCAGCTGGCATTTGCCATCTTCTTCCTTACACTGCTGATGAGGTGCACCCAGATAAGGCAGCTGTTGGTCCTAACAACCACAGCCAGGATTACCAGAACTGCTGTTGCTAAGTGGTGCAGTCACATGTTTCATGTAATGACTGCTTTGCTTAGTGACAGAAATTCTGGTCCCAGTTAGGGTTGTTAAGTGAGGACTACCTGTATGGAAAGCAGCTCTGTGCTATATGGAAATAAATGACATGGTTAATGAGGAGGAGGTTGAAAAGCTAGGTCTGGAAGTGGCCAGATATGAGGTTAATTACAATTTGTAATGAACTTATAAGACATGCTACATGACAGGCAGTCATTGTGCAGCAGGATGCTGTTGTTTATAACTTCCCAGGGCATAAGAAAGATAGGGGTGTGAGAACAGCATTGTGGGAGTGTCAGAACATTTGGCTTTGTTTTCAGTTTACTGAGGGGGTGTACTGAAGTATTTTAAAAGTAAAATAGAGACCTGTTTGTGCACCTGTTTTATTTTTTCATTTATTTTTAAAAAATCATTGTGTTTTGGCACCAAAATTTAACAGTGCAGGCTTGGAAGGCTACAAGTCTGCAAAAGCATAGTCAGCTGTCTGGACTGGATATTGTTCTGTTTCAGGTCTGCTGGGGAAGGCCAAAATAGAGCTGCTGTCCTACCACCGTTCCAGCACTGTGAGCGGACAGGAGTGGAATGTCCTAAGTCTCTCTTCTCCTCTACAAAACCTGCAGGAACTGAAGCCACATGTGACAGAGGTTGTCCAGGTGACACTTTAAGTTCTGGTGAAGAACTTGACATGGCCCACAACTTTCTGTAATGTGAATCTTATATATCTAATTAAAAATAATGCAAAAATGATATAGTGCATCCTTGCCTTACGTATTGAGTGGGCTAAACCTGAAAATGCATTTCAGTATGAGAGGTGAAATGGTCTGTTTCTGCATGTTGTATTGGCCAAGGTGACTTCATGGCAACTTATCATTGATATAAAAATTTCAACCTGGCTCCTACTTATGAAGAAAACAGAATGTGCAGCTCTATCATACAGTACAGATATTCATCATACATTTCTCACTTTTGTTTGCAAATAACATACTTATTTTAGTATTATTTCCACATTGGACTTTTCAGAAGTTAGTTTGAAAGGTGGTACTTCACAAAGCACACCCAGCACATTTCACATTCAGGGAAAAATTACCTGCGTTCTTCAGAGGATCTGTGTCCTGGGTGAGAGACCCAGGTCTCCACCTACAACATCTGAAACAAAATTTTCAGGAAGCCAGCATTCTCAACAGACTTGAAGGTGTTATGTGGAGCTTTCATTTTCTTTTTCTTGAGATAATTCTCTTCTTCTCTTCCTTGCTATTTTATTTGTACACAGAAATGTTCAGTCCTGTGATTTTTTTTAATAGCCATGGACCTAAATACTTACAGGAAATAATATATGTTTATTGAATGCTATCAACCAATGTATTCTTTAAGCAGAGTACAGTATTGTATATCCTATCCTGCTCCCTTAAACAGCAATTTTAAGCCTAACTGGAAATATAGAATTTCCTATCCCAGCCCCACTTCATGTCAGGTTTAGCCCAAGGAACTCCAAGAGTCAATGCAGAATCAGTTCAGCTATGTTTATTAGCTACAACCTCTAGCAAGAATCTTCCCAGACTGAAACCCCAGCTCCCAAGCCAGCCAGCCACACCACTGTGAATTCCTCAGGGAGGTGCCAGCCTCATCCTCTTGTAGTTCCCACAGTTTTTCAGTGAACTAATAAAACGCTTATCTCCCCAAGCCTGGCCTTCATAATTCCATTCCATCATGCTTCATAACATGCCACTTCCCCAATCCCTTAAGTCCCCCACAGCCCTGCCTCAACTATCTTGTTGAAATGTTAAGCGCTCCCTAACTCCCACATCTTTAAATCAGGGACTAGTTGCTTAAAATGCACTATTCTTCATAAGTTATCAAAAAATGCTTGAACTTCTTATAAAATATGCCTTTTAGAACTGGGTGATCCTTTTGAGAAGATAATGAACAAAGTAACAAAGTTGTAAAAAGCACCAGACATAATACGTAGTTGTTCTAGAAGTTTTATTTAATATAGCATGTCTTTAAAGTAACAATGGCATTCAATAGAGTTGATTGATTTATGTGCCATCGAGCCATTTTTGACCCCTAGCAACCACATAGATAAATTTTCTCCATGACGATCTGTCCTTAACCTGTTCTTTCAGGTCTCCCAACAGTGCATTCATTGCCATTGTAACTGAGTCCATTCACCTTATTTCTGGTGTTCCTCCTCTTTCCTTCCATCTTTCCCAGCACTAGAGCCTTTTCCAGACAGCTAGGTCTTCGCATAATGTGTCCAAAGTAGGGTAATTTGAACCTGGTCATTTGTACCTCAAGTGAGAACTCTGGGTTGATCAACAGAGTTAGTGTATGTGTGTAGAGAGCTGCTCATAAATATGGTAGTTTGAGGTTGATGCTTTTCTTTACAGCATGCTAGTTTTCCAGTGTTTCACAAATTTAAAAGAATAAAACTATAAAAGTTAAGGCATGGAGCCTGATATCAAATTGGTACACTGAAAAGTTACCTGCATTAAACCCAGGTTGCAGGTAATCAAAGTAATGAAAGCAGTTTTTTTAATTACAGGATATCACTTCAGCATACAAAAGTATATCATGTTACCTCTATTTTCATCCCTAACAAAAATACTCCCTTCAAACCTTTCATAAGCCCAGAGGTATCCACGACAAATTGTAGTGATGCCAAAATGATGCATATGCAATGATATGACCAAGCCAATGCTGTCATTACATACTTATGGCCAACAGTCTGATGCAAATATGTAAGACGCAACAAATGCATCATGATGTCATAATACATGTACCATCATTCCTCCCCATCCCATGGAAAAAAAACTAACAAAGAATATAATTGAAGCAGATATTAAGAGAAATTGCAGGTGACAGTGACAACTCAGCAATCACAAAATATAATAATTGGAAATCTGCCCTTCATATACAGTAACCTAAGGATACAAATACAGGGCTAAATTAGAGTCCTGATAGCAAGCATGAATAAGCAATGAGGTTATACAATGGAAATCCAGCAGCCATCTTCAAAAGCTTGGATTACCCTTCTTTCCTCTTGTTAAGCCATTACTTTGGTTCTGTCCATGAGGATGAGAGATTCTAAATGGAAATAAAAGCAAGGTTTCATCTCTTATTGCAACCCTTTCATGTATCCTGAATGCATATTAGTACTGTAAGTGGGAATGTTGAATTTGGCACAAGTATGACTAAGGTTGGTAACCTCATCAACACCTTTTCTATCTTACTAAAAATATATGAAAGCCTGTATTGACCAAGCCATAGACACCAGAGGTGGTCTGTTAAAGACCATGGCATATAGAAGATACTGACTTGAAATGTAAGTGGAGTACAGTAAAACCTTGGATTGCGAGTAACGTGTTCTACGAGTGTTCCGCAAGATGAGCAAACATTTCTAATAAATTTTAATTTGATAAACGAGCGATGTCTTGCAATACAAGTAGTATGTAACGGCAAACATCACATGATCACAACTGAGCCAATGGTGGTTCTCTCTCTCACTGCAGGATTGTGGGTGATCGCTTTGATATACAAATGCTTTGGATTACAAGCATGTTTCCGGAACAAATTATGCTTGCAAACCAAGGTTTTACTGTAAATAGTAAATAGTGTAAACTAATGAATAAAATGAATCATAAATATGCTGTGTGACAGTATGTAATAAACCTGAATGAAGATGGTCTGATTTTTTGAAGTAAAATACATACAGGGAAGTGAAGGTGTACAGTGCATTCGGAAAGTATTCAGACCCCCTTCACTTTTTCCAATTTTATTATGATGCAGCCTGACACTACAATTGTTCAAATTCATTTTTTCTCTCATTAATCTACAC